CCCCGCCCCTTGAACTAACCTTTTATTCCTCTTCCGTCAACCCCGCTTCATCCCACCCCCTCTTCCCCTGTTTCTTCAGAGTTCCCCCCAATCGCACTCTTTTCTTGTTCCTCCCTTCTAGACCTTTTGTACAGATCAATGGCCTTTCTCACCACCTCTTCTCCCATGAAAAACATACCCAATGATTTGCCTACCTCAATCTGTCTTTCTGCCAACTCTTCTATGCCCACCTTCCTCCTCCCCACTTCTGTAACCTGTCTTCCTTCCACCTCTCCGTTTTCTTCCTGAGTGTGAACTGCCTTACCCCTTGAGACCTTCAACCCTAATTCTCCCTTTCTCGCCTTGTCCTCCACATTATCTTTGGTTTTTTTCTTTCTATTATATACCTTTTCTTTCTCCTTTGCCCCTCTTTCTTTTTGTGTCAGACTTCCCATCCCCTTCGAAAGATCCCAACTTCCTTCCCCCTTCGAAATCAACCCCAGAGACACCTCTAATTGAAGGACAATTAGGGACGGAAAGTATCCCAGGGGGAGAAGAAATCTCAGCCAAAAATCTAGGAGTTATCCTTACCTCATCAGACTCCCTCGCCTCTTCCTGACTGGAACCTCCTTCAGCCCTGTTTGGAAGTCTCTCAACCCCAGCCATAGTGGATCCTTTGTCCCCAAAGGTCGTACCCCGTCCACGACTGCCATCCTGTCTCCAATTGTCTTCTCCGTTCTAACTTCTCCCACCCTGTTTGGAAGTCCCTCAACCCCGTCCACGACTGCCGTCCTGTCTCCAATTGTCTTCTCCATTCTAACTTCTTCCACCCTGTCTTCTTCAATGATTGCTTTCTCTACTGTGGTTGTTTTCTCCATTCTAGCTTTCGACAACTAACTGTCAGTTGCCACTAACTTGTCTCTGTCCACTGATTTCGAATTTGCTCCCTTCTCCACCCCGTCTAAATCTGCCCAAAGGAACTTCACCTTCCCTCCCTCCCAAACCCCAATCTTCTCATTCCCTGCATATCTTGAGATCACCCAAATCTAATCTCCCCTGTTAGTCGATTTCCTCTTCTTGGTCAAAGAAGAAGACTCAAAATTACCTTTCTTCGCAGACATAGGAGAAATTTCCAAAGATCCCCTTGAGCTTTTTACCTTCCTGCACCTTCTTTTCTTTTTAAGCTCAACCGCCAACTTGCTGAACGGTGGTCTTCGTTTCTTTTTAATTGAGAGAAGCAACCAGCTATTGCCTGTTCCTCCCTCCCTTTCTTCCCCAGTCCCTCACAAGAGCCCCCTCTATCCTTCAGGTCCACTTCCATCCCATCCACCTGTCCCTCCTCTTTCTCATCCCTAGCCACCTCGTCATCCACGTGTATCCTCTCACATAAACCTTGATATGACTCAACGTCTTCTTCCTCCCCCTCCCAACTCTTCAACTTCCTCCCTTCCTCCTGGCCTTCCTTTGCTCTCTCCCCTGAGATTCAAAGCAGTCGGTACCTTCACCAGACCATACCTCCCTTTTTCCCTGTGATTTGATTGTTGTTTCTCCACACTGTGATAAGTTTCATCAGCTCCTTCTACCATTAATCTAAGTTCGTACTACTCCCCTGCAAACTCCATCGCTAACCTCCCAGGTACATCTGCTGGGTTTTCTACTTCAACCAAAATCCTAGCAACATCTAGCTTCTCCCATATTCTACTGTGATCATCATATTTTAGGAATTTCCCGGATGTTCTAGCCACTTCTACAAAGGTAAGAACACTCCACACATGAAGTGGGATCCCCACGACACCAATCCATGTTGTGTAGCTCGCCCTTCCCCCATTAAGCTCCCCTGCTGTTGCGAACCAATTCAACCTTAAGTCCATTTCCCTTTCTTTTACTTGTTCCCTCTTTAAGACCTCTGTGAACTACCTTGAATGAAACATGAACAGCCACAGTTCCACATGCATCTTCCTCACCCCTAGCACCTTCTCTCTTCCCCACTCCAGAATCACCCAAGCTTCTAACTCCCTTTCATCCAAATCCTTTCCAATGAAATTGATTTCCTGAGTTATTGATCCAAAAAAAAAAAAAACTAGTTGACCTAACCAATGCTTTGTCATACTAGACAACTACATCATGAGAAGCAACCAACCAATTAGTGATGAAGTTAGTTTCACCCTCAATTGACCAGTCGGTTGATTAGTTGATAACTAGTCAATGCTTTGATAGCATTATTTGAAACTAAATTGGTTTATATTTTCCTTTGTAAGAACTAAGAAGATATATTGAGCAACTTCACTCAATATTATCAGACTTGGATTAGAACTAGAATAGTTTTGGTCACTGATCCACAGACCATACAGTTCAACTGTTTAGTTGAACCATCACAATTCACCCAAATGAAAATGCAAAAGATAAATAAATAAATAAACAGAAAATAGAAAATGACTCCATATTATCCTTTAAAGCCATTTCACATAAAAATAAGCATAAACAATAAATATTAGAGGTTACAACACCTATCAAAACAACAACATTTCTAAGAACCAGGCAACTTAAAAAAAAATAAAAAAAATAAAAAAATAAAAGAAGAAGAAAAAGAAAAACCATTTTGGTTGTAGGTTCTCATTTCTGGCAGTCCCAACTCTCCAGTCCAGTCTGACTCTGACAACACTTACTTCACTAACTGAGAAGACTTACATTCTTGGAGGTTGTCATGCCAACCTCTTCACAAGTATAGACTCCTGTGGCCCATGCCACAAACCTAGGTAAGACAATACATGAGACTGGAAGCCTAGAATGATGAAATAACACAAATATGGATGACTTGTAACCAATCCCAATTTATCTTAAAGTCCAAGTTATCCAGAAAATGCATGTAGTCCAGTTATAAGTAGAAGAGTTACAAAATACCTGAAGATCCATTTGTAAGTATGACCGTTGTTTGGTTATCACTGTTTTGTTTGTCTTCATCAAAGCCAGCTCCTTTAGTTGCCCAATTACATCTTATTTGCCTATTCCCAAGCCATTTCCCTGAAAGTCGGGAAATTTGACAAAACTGTCATGTGAGTTCTTTTATTTCTGAACCTTAAATGAAGTAAACAGTCATTAGATGCCTCACCAGTCAAGTCATTTATAGCACTCTGCGCATCCTGCAAAACAATCATATTGGAGAGGGTAATTAATGGCTAACATTGTCTATGTGCAAGTTTCATGTTTTCAATCATCTACAGAATAATGACGCTGATGCTAATAGACATTCTCTCTCTGTTTTCGAAGCAATTATGGTCATTTCATGGTGGTTAAATCCTTCTATTATGCTCTTATGATAGAACCAAGTTGAGCAATCAGGTATTAGAAAAGTGTGGTGTAATATGATCCCACCAAGGGTGGAAGCATTTGCTTGGTTGCTCTCTTTGAAAAACACATTGACCATGGATCATTCAAAACCTAGATGTTGTCATTTGACCAGCTTCTGTTTATGCCTAAAAGCTGGGAAGACAACACACGCCATTTGTTCATAGTGCTGTCAATGGATCGTGTTGGGTCCATTTAGGCTACACAACCAGTCCAAAGAAGACCCTGTAGGGTCTATAATGGGGACTTGGATCTTTTGACAATAAACCTATTTATTTGTTAAATTGACACATTTGGACTTAATAATATGATAATACTACAAGTATATAATAAGAAAAATAGTTCTTTCTTATGGTGAAAGAGAAAAATAAGCTGCAATCGGGACACATAAAGCAGACAGGATGCTATATAATTGAGTCAGTTCAGTTCGGGTAGTGTTCATTAGGACCTAATTTCTTGTGTTGTTTACAAGATCAAAATCCTGGATATCTAGGTCTTGAAGGGGTGGACTACAGACCTAACCTTTGGCATGTTTTGTACAAAAAGGTGGCTCTCAGACTCAAACTTCTTCCAGCCACATGAAACTTTTCTTCAAGGGCATCCGTTGGTCAAGGAAAAAAGGCAAAAATATTTTGGAGCGTAATTGCATTTTGTTGTTCTTTGAGACATTTGGAAGGAAGAGAAACAAAAAATATGGTTTTTATGGAAAGTATCAGTCTTCTAGAAGAATTATGGTTGACATTAGTTCTATGATAATGGAGTGGTTGCCGGTGCATCTTGAGTTTGAGGACACAGATACTAGATAGAAAAGCATTGGAATCCAGCTTTTGGTCTACTTTGGATATTCTTTTTTATAATAAAAGAAAATTCATTAAAAGGAAAACTAAAAATAGCTTTATTTCTATGATAGATTTTTTATTGGTAACTGGTACCATAATTTATCTGACAAAAGAATAGTCATTTTTTTGCCCATCAAAAAAAAAAAAAAGAAAAAAGCTTTCCTTGAAAAGTGATATACTTTGGATATCAATTATTAATTTTTCAGAAAGAATGAAGACAGTGTAGACTTAATATGTTTTACATTACTTGAGATTTTATTTTAGGGCAGCCCTTGCTGCCCAAGATAATGTAATATGAAATGTTTTGTAATGAGGGTTGTAATTTGTCATTTTTATGTTTTGTTGTCTTCCATGATCATGTATTAATGTCTCCACAATTTTTTTATCAATAATGTCTCCCTATCACTTACCAAGTTTTAAGAATTTTCTTTTTACGAAATTACATTTTGCTAGAAACACATAAAATGAAGAGAGAAGTTTCCTAGACCAATTTGAATCTATCTCCTTTCACCAAGCCAGGACAGGAATTTGGAGGCTTCTTCCTTAGGAGTCAGTTCTAGCTTGGGGGAAAATACTCGTATTTAAAAGAACAATACCTGTTGGTTACGAAAAGAAACAAAGCCAAACCCCCTTGATCGCCCAGTTTTGTTATCCCACATAACCCTTGCATCCCTGCAAAACAGTTTGAACAATAATCAATCAGATATGCACTCAATTGAAGAAGATCCAAAACAACGCTTAAATTGTAAAGTATCACTGCAGTAGATATTGGAGCTCAATATAATAAAACAAGGTATCTTAAAAGAAACGTGGAACTTACGAACAACTTGGATATACTGAAAAGCATGCAAATAGAGTTGCATCAGTGACCTCGGGACTTAGATCACCAACAAAAATATTGAAATGCCCTACCAACAAGGTCAGGTCAATTAAGACATAGAAGAACAAATGGACAATCCACATGAACGAAAACTGGGGGAAGAGGGAGGGAGAAAGATGTATGAAAGAACAGCAAACCTGAAGTATCCTCTCTCTGGCCACTAGCATATGCCCAGTTTACTTTAATTGCCTGGCCATAGCTGCAAATGTATTAAATAGCAAAAAGTCAAAAGAGAAATTATAAGACCAGCATTACACAAGGAGTTAAAATACGAGGTGCTAGTTTGAATCAGAAAGATGAAAGAATATAACCAATATTTTAAAAGGTGTTTTGAGGCATACTCCAGGCAAGGTGCACTCAAAACACCCTGAGGTGTATGCTTGGAAGCATGGATGCCTCTGAGATGCACACTTCAAATACTTTTTTCATGAGGTGCATGCAGTACGCTTCATTAAAGAAGAAGAAGATGAGGAGGAGGAGGAAGCTTATGCTTCCTTGCACTTCAGAGGCATATGGATCTTGTATTCTAAACTATGCATGCCTCTGCACTAAAAAACTCTGAATATAACATCCATACCTCAAATCAAAATAACCAAATTGGCAATTGAAGCATTCCAAAGACAAACATTCAATTTTTAATTTGGATTTCCATCTAGCATTGCAATGCTCAAAATAACAATTAGATAAGCATTGCTGAAAACCTAATCTCCTTAAAACCAGGTTTTAGCAGCAATCAACTGTTGTGTAGTCCTCATGAAAATTAAGAAGTGTTAGTTAGATAAACAAGTTCCAAATAGATCCCCAAGCCCATTGTGTATGATTTAAGAGAGTGCAATCTTACAGTTGTCGTCCATGCAACGTCATTATAGCAAGTGCTGCAGACCTTCGATCATGATAGTCCACAAACCCAAAAGAAGACTGAAAATAAAGAATGAAAGAATCTAAGCATCACAGGAGGTTAAAGCAAAGCAGGATCAAGTTTCAAGTCACAGACAATCGGCATTTATAGGTGAACAATTTTTTCTGTCTGCATAAAAACTAGTAAAGACAAATGCCAGATCCCAATACATCTCTAAGTTATTTTTGCAGACAACTAAAATGGAAGAAGTGGATAAAATTGAAAATTTGAAACCAAATTTTCTTATTAGAAAAACAATCTACAAAGCAATATTGTCAGACTCAACCTGACTAGACATGTTGACTGGTTAACTGGTGACAAGAGAGCTTTCCAGTTCCCAGTTGCATACAATTCCAGACACCAGAAGTATCTTTACCCTATTAAATCCCTTCTTTCCTTTTCTCTTAAATCTCCATTGGCCCGGACCTTTAGACTCCCAATAAAACAGGGGTATAACTTGGATGGGTTTCGAAATTTGGATCAGCTGCAATTAACTCAGCTTTTATTGAGTCCCCAACACCAATTGAACTCCAAGTATAATGCCACTATATTACCCTCCTCATTTTTGAAAATGCTCCCAAAACCAAAGGACCCCAGATTACCAACACTACTACCATCAAAATTCAGCTTTAAAAATCCTCTGTTTGGTTTCATCCATTTACATGCCTTGTCACCTCCCTCCTTTTCATCGAAGATGAGCCCGCTACTGCAGCCCAATTTCTCAAGATGTCATCCATAGAAAGGGTGACAAAACTCCAATGTTTTTAATCACAAAGCTGCCTTGTAGATGACACAATCAAAGATTTGCTCACGAACCTCAATTCTTTCCTGATCTTCAAAAGTTCTAGCATTCCTTCTCTCCCATAAAGTCCATATTATTCCTCCCTTGCACACCTCCATGTGATTCATCCCCTCCTTTCTGGTCAACTCAAAGTTACTGGTGAGAACAAGTTAACCACACAATTGGGAGTATTCCACCTGCACCCAACAATAGAGAAGATCCTTACCCAAATACTAAGAGAAAATGAACAAGAGATTAGTAAGTGATAGAAAGACTCACCATTAAACTTACAAGGTATAAGGTATACACCAATGGGGGAGAGATGACCCAATATGGTCTCCCTCTTTGCAGTAAATTGCAAGTGTTGATTCTTTAATGGTAAACTTCCCGATAGAGAGCTCCACCTTAGGTGGATAGGCTTACACCAAAACTCTTCAACAGGAAAAGGTTCCTGGGAAGGGGTAACCAAAGTTTTGAAAAACACATTTATCAAAAAAAGGTTTGAAAAACAAGGCACACATGAAAAGGAGAGAAGCAAAAGTGACCCAAATCCTACTATCTTCTTTCCCAAGGTCAAGGTAAATCCCATCCAATATACCCAACAAATTAGAAACTGAAGAAATTTCTGACTCTCTACCCCAAATTCCAATCAAACACTTCAGAAGAATTTAAAGGTACAACAAAATTAGCAATAGGTTAACACTTAAAAGAAGAAAGCGAGAACAAGGGAATAGATCCTAGGGGTGACTCCCCCACACACATGTCCTCCCAAAATTTAAGCTTACGCCCAGAAAATACATCATATCTTATAAGATTAGACAAACAAGGGGGGATATTGTGATTAGATTTCCAAGGAGAGGCAAGAGAAACTCTAACTAATAATCCAACATCACATTGATTTTCATTGGGCCCATGAATACTAACCACCACTTTGTGCCACAACTTTTCTTTTTCAATTGGCAACCTCCATAGTCATTTACCTAACAAAGCCACATACTTCTTGTCCACATTCCCAATCTCCAAATCGCCTTGATCTTTCCTTCTATGCACTCTTACCCACTTAATCAGATGATATCTCTTACAGCCCCCGGAGTCCCAAAGGAAATCCCTCACTAATTTTTCCACTGTCTTCAACACCGTCTATAGTATTTTAAACACCAACATGTGATAAATTGGAAGATTTGCTAACGTTATTTTAATGAGAATTACCCTTCCACCCAATGAAATATAGTTCCTCTTACATAACGCCAACCTCTTGGCAATCCTTAGCAACACTAGCTCCCAAAAACTATTAGACCAAGGATTTGCTCCTAAAGGGAGACCTAAGTAATTAATTGAACACTCGTTTGTTGGACACCCCAAGAACTGAAAATTTTTTTGATCATTCAGTATTCAGCTATGCATTAAACAGTCCTCTTACTACATTGCTCCTCCCTACTATCCAACCCTTGATCAGCTCCATTCTATTTCTATCAGCTCTAGACTCTAGAGACTAATCTACCCAATACACCAGCAATGTGGGTGAAAAGGTAATAGAAACAGTGGATCCCCTTGCCTTAAGACTCCTACAATCTCCAAACAAAATCATGAACCACGTGTTTACAATTATTGAAAAATGAAAAAACTTTTTTATGAGTAACAATAAATTTCATTAATGGATTAGAAAATTACAAGCATTACAAACAAATAAGGGAAAATATTTTTTCGTAATAAATATTTATTTATACTAATAAATAAAGTGGTGTTTAATGTACTATTTCTTAAAGGCAAAAATATATTTCTGGTACAAAAAAAGGGAAAAAGCACTGACACATCCTCGGGGTAGTGCAACCCCATAGTTCTTCTAGTCTAACTCTTTCATGCCTCTGAATGAAGTCCTTCTGGTCAAGCATTTTGTGGCCTTGATTAGCAATAAGATCATTGCCTCTCTGTACACATGCTTAACCTTCATTCTCTCCCCTTGTCTTCCAGCATCTTTTTGATGTCTTATGATATCCTTCGCATGCAATGGGAGGGGACCTTGCCTAACAGGCTGTTCTAGGTACAACTAAAATATTTTTTATCAATAACATGCAACTTCATTAAAATTATGGGAAAATATGGTAAATTACAAGCAGAGGGAGGTACAACTAAAATATTGAGAACTAATTGTACTACTAAATTCAATAACCAATAATACTGAGAACCAATAGTTGTACTATTAAATTTGAGGGGCAAATTTGTTCTCTGAGAAACCAGGATACAACTAATTGTCTTTTTTTTTTTGATCAATTACAACTAACTACTACTAATCGTCTTTTGCTTCATGCTGAAAGGTAATCAGAATATCAGAAATGTTATAAGCAAGCTAAAAATATAATCATAAAAACCTGGCAATGGTTATAAACAAACCTTTTCTTTTCTGATAAGTTTGCATCCCTCAAGTGGACCAGTACTCTGGAAAACCTCTGCAAGAAGACTCTCGGTCACATTAGGATGGATATTACCCACATACCTGAAGAATCATGACCTATCAGGATTAAAAGGTGATGACATGGAGAAGGACAACCAAATAATGAATAAAATTGAAAGTATGCCAGATTAAAATTTAGCACTCTCAATCATGCATTAATGGTAATCATGGATCGAGCTATGTGGCAGAAAAAGATTGAAACAGCTGTCCCAAAAAAATAAGCCCATTCCGCTCATAAAATCTAAAAAAGTAAACATCCCAAAAGTTCTCTAGTTAAAGTACCTAGAATAGGCTGTTAAGGGCATGAACCACCATGAAGGGAAAGTAAAAGAAAAGAAAGGAAAAGAAAAGAAAACTGTTGCATAGGACTCACACACTGCGGCATGAAGATGAATCAAATCCAGGAGGCAGATTTCCACTTGGAACCGGCTCCATCTGCAAAATGTAAAAGTAAAAAAGAAGAAAATGAAGAAGATAACCTAGAAAACCTAAGAGGATGCCCTTAAAAAGAATGAAAAGAAGGACCCACAAATATCTAATAAAAAACCCTAGCCAAGAACTCACACTCTAAAGCCAACAAATAGGAGCAACGGGAAAAAAAACTGCAGTTGGTCCATGCTAGAACAGATAAACCATACTAAAGTCATGAATGAGCAAGGATGACACAAGACAACAAATGAAAAATGAAAAGAAAGTAGGAAAATGACAAAAAATTGTAATAAATTCTTTCTACCTAATGTAAATTTGCAGTTACCAGTTAGAAAAAAGATAAGACTAAAATGTACAGAATTTGCAAACCCAGTGAGTCAAGAGAATTATGTGGTTTTAAGTTGTAACAAAGCGCACAAATACAACATATTAAAACTTCCTAATCCTTACCAATCAGTGTACCTAAAAATCAAAGTCTGGGCCCAAATTTATTGGAATTTGAGGAATTCTTTGAGATTTCAAGAGAAACTAAGGCTCGGTTTGGAAAGAATTCAAATACAAATATGTACTGTACAAATACATACAAAATATAAGATTTTGTCGTTTATACTCCTTCCAAACTGAGCCTAAGTGTCAATAATTTATATCTTTCTATTCTTCCCACTACTTTCCCATTATTATTGGTTGTCCTTACCTCCTTTCCTCCCCCAATTTTGCATTATTTTTTCCTCCATAGCTACCAAAACAAAACGTCAAATTTTGAAATTTAATAAAAGTTAACCTTTTCATTGGTTTGAATTTAGCCAAATTCCGTAAAACACAAGGGCTAACTTCAGTGTTAAATTTACACTAAGTCACGTTTTAACTAAAATAAGCTGAAGTGTGAACAAAATAAATCTTGTGAGGAAAACAAGAAGACATTTCAAGCGAAGTCACTCGGTACAAAATCATCCAAAAAGAAAAGAAGATCTAATTAGATCAAACCCCAATGAGATGGAAGTAAGAACGTGTTAACGTTCAATTAAAATGAAAACAGGTTCGCACACATAATTCAAGCAAATTAAACGAAATAAGCTCTGAGAGATAGAGAGAGAGAGAGATTAAACCTGAGACATCGCGGCGGCAGCGAGCACGGGATGGTAGAGCTGCTGCTGCTGTTGCTGCTGTTGAAGCAACGCCTGCTGCATTAGGGCTTGTTGCTTCAACCTCTGCTGCATCTTCCAAAGCCCTAAAACGCCTCCGACAGAAAAATAGAAGACAAGAAACCCTAGAAATCGTCAGCGAGACGATTTTCACGCTCCGTCTCCAGGATTTGGACAAGAATTGAGCGAAATAATGCGACGATCTAAGAAATCAAAGTGAAATGTCTCTGTCGATAATGATGAGGAGGAGGAGGAAAGATCTAAAATCGAGGTTTGGAGGTGTAACCTTGCAAACAAGTTGTTTCCTCTCTCTGACGTGATTTTCTTGGGAGAGCACAGTCGGAGAATAAAATAAACTAGATTCGTTTTTGGTTTTGTAGATATTTATAGCATGGGTCATGGGAAAATCTATGATACCGAAAACACATGGTATCGGAACAGTTTTGTCGAATCAAACACCACGCGAAATTTTGATGAAAACCACCTCATTGGCTAAGTTTTTCAGGCATATGTCTTTCAGATATCATACTCGAATTATTTTATGATTGATAATAGATAGATCCGAATATGAGACAACGAAATATTATTTGGGATGTATTTCGTATCAATACCGTTTATCCGAAAAGTAGTGCCACGTTGGAGTCATGTTGGCGTTTCCACTTTTCAGCATGGTTCAGGCGTTTTTTGAAAAAAATTGTGAAAAATGGGCATGCCTCGTAAGTTGCATTCATCCATAAGTGAGTCATTGCTCCCGATGGTTATGTGATGTAGCGCTGATGTGTGTCCTAATTGTCATCAGAACCATTATTGAAAATAATGTTGATGTACTTGTATGAAAACAGCACCACTTGGGAGCGTTTAAACTGGATTCTCTCTAACGATTTATGGAGAAGGGAATTCCGAGCCCTTTCTTATTTCTGATCACTCCCCTTTTTTGCTAGACACAACAGGTCCAAATCTTACTGGTCCTAGGCCCTTCCTTTTTGAAGCCATGTGGTGCAGCGACCCAAGCCTAGAAAATGTGTAAACAATGCGCGTGGAATATTGAAGCTAGTGGTGCTATGCTTTCATAAAAAAAAAAAAAAAAAAAAAAGAAAAGAAAAAAGAAACAAGATGGTAAAAGAGCTTAGAACTTGGAATAAAAATCATTTCGGTAACATTCTTAAAAAGAAAGAAGACTTGCTTCGTAGAATTGGGGAAGTTCAAAAGATCGCAAACAACCCTCAAGATATTCCCACGATGAATATGGAAAGAGCGTTACAGATCCAGCTTGAGAATATCCTCAAAAAGGATGAGATTTTTTGGGCCCAAAAAGCCAGAATTGATTGGATAAGTTTGGGAGATAAGAATAATAAGTTCTTCCATACCATGGTGGCTATTAGAAGAAATAAAAATAGGATTAAGAGAATAAAAATGGGTCCAAGATCAAAATGGAGTCACTTAGGTCCTTCTCAAGAAATTTGAAGATAGATTTAAAACTGAAGGGACTAGTGGGATAGATTACTTTATTGAGGGTATTAAACCTAGCTTTTCGATGGAACAAATCAATCAAATTACTAAGCAAGTTACTAAAGCCGAAATTCTTGAGGTTGTTAAGTCCATTAAGGACATGAAAGCTCTTGGCGTTGATGGCCTTAGTGCCTTATTTTCCAAAAGGTTTTGGCATATTATTAGTGAGTCAGTATGTAACGCTGTCAAAGCCTTTTTCCATTCGAGGAAAATGAATTCGAATTTTAATAAAACTTTCATAGTTTTGATCCCAAAAACAAAATATCCAGAGACGGCTAATAATTACAGGCCTATAAACTTGTGCAACGTGATTTATAAGATTATCTCAAAGATTCTGGTTAATAGGGTTAAGCCTTTTTTAGATAGTATAATATCCCTGTTTCAAAGCGCTTTTGTCCTTAACAGGCAGATCAATGATAATATCCTAATAGCCCATGAGATTATCCACTCAATGATGAAGAAAAAAATGAAGGAGTGGAATTATGGCATGTAAAATGGATATGGGAAAAGCTTATGATAGGTTGTAATGGGAATTCATTGAAAAAGTCCTTCTGAAGTTTGAATTCCCTAAAAGATGGGTGGATTGGACTATGGCTTGCATCAAGTCTGTTTCATACAAACTTCTCATTAATGGTTCCCCTTCTAGAAGTTTCACCCCAACTAGGGGGATAAGACAAGGGGACCCTCTGTCTTTATATATTTTTGTGCTATGTGCAGAAGCTCTTTCAAGAAAATTTGAATATGAAGTAGCCAAACCCAAAAGTCAAATTGGGTGTAGAATCTCAAGAAGCGGACCTTGTATCCCAATCCTTCAATTTGCTGATGATTGTATCATTTTTGCGAGGACTTCGATGCCCGCTTGTTTCTGAATTAAAGAAATTCTAGATCAGTTTGCACTGGCATCTGGCTAGTGTCCAAATTTTGACAAATTTGCCTTGGGATTTTCAAAGAACATTCCTAATAGATTGCAGAGAATCCTTTCTAGATGCATTAGAATTCTCATTGAGACAAAATAAGGTTCTTACCTGAGAGTTCCAGTGATCTCGGAAAGGGTGACTCAAAGGACCTTTGGACAATTAAGGGAAAAAATCTGCAATAAGCTTGTAGGGTGGAAGAAAAGTACTCTTCTCTTGCTGGGAGAGTCACCCTCCTCAATTCCACCATTTGCTCTAACCCAATTCATGATGACATCTTTCCATCCCTTTGGAAAATGTAAAGGAGATTAATAGACTCCAAAGTAATTTCTTATGGGCAAATAGTAATGGTAGGAAGCCTATACACCTCTGAGCTGGAGAAAGGTATGTGTCTCTAAGATATGGGGTGGTCTTGGGCTAAAAAACCTAAGATGGATGAATGAGGCAAACCTTGCTAAGCTTGGGTGGAAAGTTATCACTGAAAAGAATAACCTGTGGGTTAAAGTGGTGAAAAACAATTACCTAAGTAAAGAGGACTTTTGGAATGCCAAGGATAAAAAAGGGGATCTCTTGGGCATGGAGGAAAATCCTCGAAGCTAGAAGTTTACTCAGGAGAGGCCTCGACTAGTCAATTGGAAATGGGAGATCTATTAACTTTTGGAATGATAGATGGGTGGGGGAGGACATCCTTAAAGACGTTAGAAACGATGACACTCTTGCTAATGAAGATCTTAAAGTTAGTGACTGTATTGATCATGATAGAATGATTTGAAAGGAAGATCAAATCTGCCAAATGGTCCCAAAGCCGATTTGGAACAAGATAAAAACAATTTTCATCCCTTCGAATGCAAAAGAAGATGAAATCATTTGGAGACTCAACCCTAAGGGGAATTTCACTATAAGATTAGTGTACAAAGAAGCTTGTGTTAGGGATAATATGCAAGTGTAGAACAAAGGCTTCCTAAACACTATTTGGGGCCTCAATGTGCCCCTAAGATAAGAATCTTCATGTTCCTACTCCTTAATCATAAACTACCATCCAAAGACCTCCTTAGAAAGAGGGGTATGACCATAAGTGCGGCATGTAACTTTTGTGGAGACAACGAAAACATTGATCACATTTTCAAAAATTGCATGACTGCAAAACAAGTTTAGAGACTAGTGGGCTAGGACATTGTGAACCAAATGGACAATGAAGTTTCTATTAATAGTTGGTGGTCTAACATGATTAACAACCATGTAACTCAATTAAGTAGAGAAAAAGCAAGCATTATTCTATGATTCTTGTGGAAGAATAGAAATGAGAAAATTTTTAATAACAACATCACTCCGGTTGGGATCATTGATAAAGTTCAATCTTTCTACAACCAACTGGAGATTTGTAACAGCGCAGCAAGGGACAAGATTAATAAAAGAGTTTGGAACTTAATTTATTGGAGGAATCCAAAACCGGGGGTTATCAAAATCAATTTTGATGCTTCCCGTAATAGTGGGGGGTCATTGTGTTGTTGTGTGTATTGCCAAGAACTCCCTTGGGGAGGTCTTGAATCTGAAAGCTTGTCCTATCGGGGAGGCATTGATAAATCTTGCTGAGGTGTGGGCTACTTGGGAAGCCCTCAATATGGCTTTTAACTTCAGAGATCAATCCATTTACATTGAGGGTGACTCGCTCAACGTCATTTCCTACCTCAAGAAGACGCTTGACCCGCCATGGAGACTTCAGACTATCATTGGTGAATGCTTCAGACTGGTGGAGTTGCTAGACTGTGGTGTCTTTTTCTCTCATGCCTTTCGTGAAGGTAACCAGGCAGTTGATTGGTTGGCGAAACATGCACTCGACTTAGATGCTCATGTTAGCAATTCTCTCCCTATGCTTCGTAGGCTGCTAGAGTTCATTTGTTGGTGCAATTTATGGGGAAGAGCTACCCCCAGGCTTGTGTAGCTCACCCTTACTCTACCAAAAAAAAATGTGTTGATAGTTAAAATGTTTCGGTGCTTTTTGACCCATCAGAACCTTAAACGCATTGTGTGTTGATAGTTAAAATGTGTGTCCTAGTTGCCATCGAGTTTGCACATTTTTCTTCTTTGATGCCAAACTCTTTCCCCTCTCACTATTGTTGCAACCATCGCTTGGGGAAGTCATCACCAGATGAGGTATTCTAATATTATTTAGTTTTTACATTTTTCCTACTATTTTTCATGGAGAAATTTCTCTAATACTACCATTTTCTCATTTTTTTATGTGTTCGAAGGAGCTTACAGAGCATACTACACTTCGTCTAGTCCATTTTTCATCTTCGATCAAGAGGTTAGTACAAGTGAAAATGGTGGTGTTGTTTCATGTTGTAGAGTCCTACTGAATCCTTGATTTGTTTACCTCTGTGTTGTTTAATTTCTTGTTATTTTTTGTTCAAGGATTAGTTGCTTCTTATTTTATGTTTTGTTGTTGCAACTCTCGGCATGATTGTTATGTGTAAACTCTGTTCTTTGTAAAATTTTATATACATGGTTGGTATAAATTGAAGGGCGAGGGTTTGTTTGATGATTGCTGAAATGGATGAATTGTTTATAAGATGATTGATAATAAGACTAAGGTGGCATTTGATGAAACTTTTCAGACCTCTGAAGTCTAAAAATGTTACTTTTTAGACGCCACCCATGTTTGTGTTTGAGTTTGAAAGGATAATCTAAAATGTATTTTCAAATATGAAATTCTAAGACTGTAGCCCAATACTTAACATGCTTAAGCGCGTTTCAGACCTAGCACAAAGTTTAAAATGCCCATGAATAATTTCAAAAAGACAAGGTATGCCCCTATTTAAACCCAAAATTATCTCATCAGAGTTCTTCCTCTTGAACAATAAAGGGACATATTGCACTATACTTTTATTCCGAGGTTTCACAAAGTAGAAAAGCATCTACTGCATCTGATTTTCTTG